CTACCGGGGGCCCCCCTCGAGGGCGCTGCCGCGCCGACGGCGTGCCCAGCCGCCGACACGACGCACCCCGAGATATCCGACGCTCCGACAGCAGTTGGAGCGGCGAGCCCTGGGCCGCGTGCGCGGCCTCCAGGGGCCCTCGACGGGCCTCGGGACCGTCAGATCGGGGGCCCCCCTTTAGCAAAACGTGGGACGTGTCACTGTTGGGGGTTCTGTCCAGCCCCGATCAGAGAAATGGCTCAGGACGAAGAACCGGCCTCAGGGAAGTGGTCCGGACCTCCGCAGGAGAACCCAGAATCGAATCGATGAGTCGGATCGCGGCAGTCGAAACGAATCGGATCGGCGGGAATCGGCAGCCGAGGCGGGAGAAGTCGAGTCGGCGGATATCGGCAGGCCAGCAGGTATCCACTGAGGAATCGGAGCCAAAACCGGGATCCCAGGTCGGATCGAAGCGGAATCGGAAGCCATCGAAGTCGACCAGAATCGAGGCGGAGCTAGCGAAACGAGCCCTGCCTCCGGGGCCCACGCATCGAGAAAGCGGGAGCGGCCGGATGTCTGGGCCAGCCGTGGTCACGAGGGCAGGCACGGGCGGCGTGCTATCTGCGAGGCTGAGCGGGGTAAACCCAGACGCCTTGGGCTGACGCACGCCCTGAGGGTCATCGCTCCCGGGCCGCAGGTCAAAAGACGAGTCGTAGTCGGGGTCGGGTTGCCCTGAGATCCTGGCGTTACAGCTTTTGCGCACCGGGCGATCTTGTCTTGGTTCGGGCCCCGGGGCCATCACAGATCGATCGGGCTCGAAAAATGGCGCGGAAAGATAGGGTCTAGAGCTACGGTCATCATTATTCTCGACGTTGCAACTTGTGCGCAACGTCGTATCCCAGAGTATGTATACACACGAAGGGAACTATTGCTTGGCGCGTAGCTGCGGCGACCCCAGCGACACGGCGGCCCTGCAACACGCTATGCCCTGCGAGCCGATGGGGTATCGGCAGGCTCCGCGGAGCGAGCGGCGTCGATAGACTCGGAAAGTTGACGCTTGAGGACTGGGACGTAGTTAGCGTGTCGCGCCGCAGCGTGGTGGGCCAGCACAAGCGGAGCGACATGCCAAGCAGAAAGATCCGACCGTATACAGCTATACATCTTACCAAAAACAGTCAAGAAGTAGACAAAACGAAAAAAACAACAAAAAGCGGATGGCATAACGCAAAGTGTAGCAAGAAGCAGGGGGTCCGAGTGAGATGTATGAATTCCCCCCTGCCTGCCAGAGGGATGCTCACGCGGGCTCCACGACGACAGAAGCCGCAGGAAATATCACACGGCTCCCAAGGGAAATACATACGTTGCCCCCTGACTGTCAGAGGGTATCTAACACGGGCTCTGCACGCTAGGGTTGTTGATTCCCCCCTTGCCTGCCAAAGGGGGCTTGCACGAGTGCTGAAGAAGATGTGTTTTACGACCCACCTGCCAGAGGTTCCGACAGGGGGTCCCTTGACGATCTGATCATTGAAGGGGCCCTGGGACACACAAATAAATACACACAAATGAAAAGATGCCCCATATTTTCTTGTATTTTCGGAGTTTGTGTCTTCGCCCCCACTTCCAATACTTTCCCACATCTCTTGGGGGGAATCGACGACGAATTGTGTCTGTGTGTGTCTTTTCCCCTCCTGAATCATATCCACCTGCCTGCCACGGGGAGTCGCACAGGCAGAACTCCGATTGGAAACGGGAGCACTTTGTAGCTGGCCGCCTCGAGGTGCCATCTGGCTCGGGTGCCTCGCGAGGGTCGCCCGTGCCCTCCCGGGCTGCCCCGGGAGCCCACTGGGGCTCGGAGAGAGATTGCTCCTCCTCCTCCTCCTCCTCCTCCTCCTCCTCCTCCTCCTCCTCCTCCTCGTCCATCTCCTCCTCCTCCTGGGCCCGAACGCGGCGCCCCCCCCCCCCATCCAAATTCCCGTCTGGGTCCGCTACTCACGTGGCGACGAGGCGGGGCGCTTGCCCTTTGAGGGCAGCACACGTTCCACACACTGTACCAGCGTTCGGAGCCACCGCGTTGGCCGCTGAGTGTGGCTGGCCGCGCCTGCCGCGAATGTCTGGACATCGGCGGAGGAAGGCGAACCCCGCTTGGCATCGCCGGCAGAGGGAGGCACGAGCGCAGGCTCGTGTTATAGCTGGATTGTCTGAGTACACAGTCATCCAAGCAAGACGGCTGCTCAATCGTCATCATTATTTGTCCTCCAAGTCGTGGTGTTGTGCTTCCTGTGCTGCGTCAAACTTCTTGGAGAGGCAAAACTGCAGGAATCGTGGCACTGCGAGGACAGGAGTACGGTTCGGCTCAGATTGCGGATACATTCGAGAGACAGCAGTGGGTCAAGAACAATCAAACGCGCACCCATTCCAACGAAGGGACAAAACTCGTCGGGGAAAAGCGTCAGGTCAGGGTCCCGCCACACAGACCGACGCGGACGACAGACAGACGACTGCGAAGCGGCAGCAGCGTACGAGGTCTCCGTCGGTTACGTTCGCAGACGGGGAGGAGGATGGTTCCAGGGACGAAGATCAGAGGCCTTTGGGCAGCATCCCCGATCTTGCTTCGGAGGCGCGACTGCATCAGCATTTCCCAGGAGAGTTGGACCCAACTGCGTCGGCCAGAGAGCGCAGTACTTTCATCACAGAGTGCAGGCAACAGTTGAGAATTCTTGCTGGCACCATCAGGCTCAAAGAGAGATCTGGAGAGATGGCCCACGAAGAGCGCTCATGGTACTCTGTGGTATTGACGGCCATCCACCTATGTCGACCTCACAAAGTGTGGCAGCAGCAGAGCACACTGGACACTTTTCCCTTGAGCCAAAGTACCGTCCACGGGTGCAAACATGCGTACAACACTAAACGCTAAACCTGAACGCAACGGATAGAGAAAATTACTGATCAGCTACACTGGTCAGACTTTCTAGCAGGTTTAGCACCCCCAGCTGTCGGCCCCTGTGGCCTGCAGCTGTCTGGTCAGGATCTGCCTGACCCCCCTGTGGAGAATAAGGAAAAGTGATTCTACTGGAAGACAGGCAGACGATTGGAATAGAGAGGGAGAGGGAGGAGGAGGAGGAGGACCACCGTCACCACCACCACCAGGACCTGGAGTCTGACTGCGGAGGTCTTCCCAGGTGATCATGTCCAACTCCTTCCTGGACGCTGCCTGGGTCCTACTTTTAAGCTCGGGCTGTTCTCGTCGACGCTCCAACTCCCCGGGCTCATCGACTAGAACCAGACGACCGCTGACCATTAGGTCGAAGAGTGCGGCGTTGCATTTCGACACGTCGTCCTTGGTCAACGCGTCGACCGGCATCCTCCCGTGAGGGACCCATCGTACCCGACCCTGGGCCCTCTCAAGGGCCTCGCTGATAATGGCCAGGTCGATTGCCGTTCTTCGGTCCCGGGCCCCTGCGTTCCCCTCCTTGAGCATCGTGTCGTAAATAGATTTGGCATCTACTACATGTACCTGCTCTTCCCGGGCGCCCAACCGACAGTCACGCCAGAGCACTGCCGTAAATGGCCCAGAGCCCCGGTGGTAGTCCTGGACGTCCACGTCTCTAAACATCACGTCTCGGTACATGACTTGTAGATACTCTACTTCTGCTACTGCGGAGGAAAGAGCCTGGGTTTCACCGGCCAAGGTCGACGGAACCTTTCTGCGCAACTTGGAGCTTCTCCATCCTAAGATGGATGCCTTGACCGATCGGTTCGCCAGCACGCTCTTGTCCGCTGCCAGGACCATCCACGCTCCCTGGGTAGGGTCTTCTGGAAGGCCCTTGTCATCTGTCATGCTCTCGGCTGCACCTACACCGCCGGCGTCGGAGAAAGACATAAATGACATGTTTTCAGGATCCAATTTCCAGACAGCGATGCCCCTCGAGGCCGTAGTCCTCAAGTGCTTGACGAGCTTATTTGCCAGGGAAACGTCGCCGGTAGTCGGAGCCTTAAGGCGACTCGCCAGTATGCTGGCGACCCCTGCCGCCTCAGGGCGGCTCTCCCTACCCACCCAATTGAATTTGTATACAAGTGAACGTAAAGCCTTGAACTCGGAAGAGTCCAGGGGCGAGTCCTTCTTTGTAAGGCGGCCTCGGGCAAGAGGAAGTGGTCGAATTTCCTCCTAGATATATTTTTCTTGATCGATGACAGCACGCCGAGCATTCAGAGAAATCCGGCGCCCTGCATACTCAACAGGTCCTGCCTGCAGGTCACGATATTTTCCAAACTTGAATCTGGATTCGAGCAAACCTCTAAGCCACGAACGTGACTCCTCCGACGAACTCCCGATAAAGAAGTCATCGACCTCTAGCAACATCATGTTCAACACCTCCCCCTTTGGGCCGTACCGGATCCACCAACAAGGCCCCAATAAACATCGAGTAAACCCATGTTTCTCAAGAAAGTTAACGACTGTTTTTCTCCAGGCAACAGGAGCGTCGTCTAATCCATAGACGTTCACCTTCAAGAGTATGAGGCTGCCCCTGGGTATGTCTATACCGTCGCAGGGCTCGACATATATATCGCCCTGAGGACGTGATATTGGATCTGACTGGCAGAACGCGTTTTTAACGTCTGCGATGTCGGCCAGGAGGGAGAGATTCATGATGATCTGTATAAACATCATGATGCTGCTGGTCTGAGGGGTGGGGGAGTAGACCTGGAGAGAACCTGAATCCGGGTCTCTATGTCCATGCACGCACCAGCGTGATTTGGCGTCCGGGTTAGCGAATGTCCCCTCCACCGGTTTCCATCGACGAACCATCCGACTCGAGATGATGCGCTCGGGCTGTGCCTTGCGCACCGCATCCGCCTTCTTGGGCGAGATGATTTCGACGGCTCCGGTCGCCATCATCGCGTCCCACTCCTTCTTATCAGAAATGTCGAACTTGGCACGTTCGGAGGGGTTCAAATTCTTCAAAGTGACCTCTCCCCCCCTGCTGGCCACAAACGTGCCCTCCCCCTTGTCTCCGAGGCCT